ATTATATTATTATATTATATTATTATACGCTTATAGGTATTTATAAAGTACTTATCTTTATATTAGGTTACTTATAGTATACCTAAACCACTTATATAATAAAATAAGTAGCCCACGAATAACCTAAGAAAAACTTAGATACCTACGGGTGCCCACGGGTACCCGTTTTTACACTCTAATTGACATCCTCTAAACCATTTCTGAGGATGATATCTGCGGTTTCGGGCTCCCCAAGAACATCGTACACGTCTTCTCGACTAAGCCCGTCGAGAGACCTTGGTTGTAAAAATTATGTTTGAGGGTCGAAGATCTGGCAGCACAGTATTAGTCAAGATCAGAACGGTCTGCAAGCTGCAATGCTACAGTCACTGACCTCCGTGGCAAATCCCATGGCCATGTATATTAGCCAAGCCTTTAATAACCTGTTTTACAAGTTGGCGTATAGTTGCCGCGCATACATCTGGCTGTTGATCATCCATCACGGATCCCAAGTCAGGCCCCAAGACGGGATAGACAATGCAAGCATGTGTCTCATTCGGGTCCTTAATCCGAAAGTCGCGGAGCGAAAGACAGAGGTGTTCCCCCACCCCCGGCTCCTTGTTGATAGCGATTTCACTAAGATGCCGTGCTACAATCAACTCGCGGCATTCAGTCTCAGACAGAAGGGCTTTAAGGATCTTTACGCAACATATTTCGGACTGCAATGGTCGGTATCATAACCACACGGTTGAGTATCCGCCGTGACCGAGCTTGTGAATGACGCGATATCGACCAGAATGTCACCCCACAGAATGGGGTGATAGCCTTGAAGATTCCACTGACACTCTCATAAGGTCTACTAGTGTTTGTCTCGTCCCTCTACCGAGCGGGCCGAGTTGCTGTGTGCAATTATTAAGCAAGTAGCGATGCTAATAGGTTTGCGAGTGTGGTATATTAGGTACGGAGTTCTGCCTGCGAGCACGAGCATATTATTCAGTAAACAATTAACTGGAAGGTGAATAGAAGGCTTATCCACGACACTGATACTCTACCGAGTGAATAGATCGACGACGATTCGCATATTTCGGTGTTCGCGGATCGTATACTAAACGATTGGGACTATTACTTTAAGGGATATTTATATGTTTATTCGAATAATAACGGTGATCCTAGATACCCGCTCCACCCTAAATATTTTAAGTATTAAAACGTCGAAGATCCCCGTCGAGTTAAGCTCTAGAATATATAAGATTAAATATAAGTGTATAAGAAATATTCTAATAAAGAATATTTCTACTACTCTTTTATAAGAAGTTTAGTAGTACTAAGAAGAAGGAGATAGAGCCATAAAAAAAGAGAAGGAAAGGAAAGGGAAGGAGAAAGAGATATTAGTAGAATAAGCGTGTTAGAGCTTTTAGGATTTCTTAAGATTAGGTCGCTTACTTAAACGTAATACTACCTCTATTAGGTATACCGTTAAACCTTAATATTCGTATATATATAAGAGATATAGGTATTATAAACTAAATTATAATTTTAAGCTTAAGGTTTTAATAATCTAGATTTTATTTATTTAAATTAGGTTATATATATAAAGGCCTCTACACTCCTTTAAAAGTCCTTATAATCGAATCGGTTATCTAGGACCAAGCCTTCACAGCAAGATCGGCCGGCTTGACAATGTGCGTACTGTCGAAAGTCAACCCCCTCAACCCTTGCTGCTCGCCGCAGTCGTCTAGCTCGAAATCATTTCCTCGTGTGAAGTGTCAACAGCAAGCCCATTAGGCTGATCGTGTCCTGTATCGCTGGAATCAACAAAAGCTTCTAGCCCTTTTCCCTTGCGTGGGAATTGTCCAGCGAAGGTTTTGTGGACCTGTAACGCTTCGCACAAGTCTTGATGAGTAACATCATTTAGAAAGACGCAATCACCGAGAGGACTAATCGGCACAGCGGCTCGAAGTTTCCCATCTCGCGTCCGGAGTATAGCAGTTGTGGCTTTATCTAGAAGCTCTTCGTCGAACTGATGATGGTCTATGGACAGCCCAGCACGTGAAAATAGATTGAGCAGGCGCACATGATCTTCGGGTAATAGAAGTCCGCGCACACGACTGAGAGTGGCCGAATAAGCCATGTCGATTGAAATGGCATGACCGTGTCGCAGTGGAGGATCTGGAACAAGCTCGTGCAACGGCGACCAGCTAGGTTGCTTTGTTAGGTTCAACCGGTCGACAAAATTTGAACTTGGTAACTCACGTATGACCATAGGCGATGACCCTGTCCAACATAATCTCATGCAAATTTGGCGTCTCGAGCTTCAGCATCTCGTGGATGCCTGCCCTGCATATCGCGTCGGCGGCAGTTCTGATTTCCCGAGAACTCTCAAGCCTCCCGAAGGCGGTTTCAATAAGCTTCTCGCAGTACTTATCAAGAAGATCAAAAGTTTTTTTATCAGCGCAAGAAGAAATCTTGATGAGCTCAGCAAAGCCATTTCGAATTTGCCCGATTGGGAGTGTGCGAAGGAAAGTGAAGTCGAGAAAGGTGTGTATGGGAGCGTGATAGGCGCCAAGTCGATTCTTGTACCTGCCGTAGTTTACGGCAACTTTAATAGAGACTGAAGCATCAATCAACCCGATAACGGTGGTGGGGACTCGTATAAAGTTCGTGTTGCGTCGGTAGGATGCGCATGCAAAACTATACTCATTGGTCATCTATCCTCATCTGATCAGACACGAGGTATTCGCAGCCTACCCAGCAACGTCCGTCACCAGTCCGCCACCAACCACTAACACGGGTTCTTTGCGGTAAATGCCGAAATCGTTCATGGCATCAATGATGCCTAGCATTGTATCCATGGTTTTGGCCTTCTCCCCAACCATGGTTTTGTGTATAGTAAGCTTGATTTGGTAGTGTTCAAAGTAATTGTGAATCGTTTCACCGTAGAGGGAATAAATATTGTAGTCCATGACCGCAAGACAGCGCCGCCACCTACTATAGCACTCTGAAAGCTGAGCGTTTCCGATTCGAAACGCTCCGTCAAGGAACGTAAAGTCGTACTCAATCTTCTCATAGCCGCATACTGCGAAGCCACTGGAGGTGGCTTCTACATTCGCCTTCATGTCAGACATGTTGGATTGAGAAGAGAGCGCTTGCGGTCTCGGGAAATGGTTAGAGTTATGCAGAAAGAACTAGAGACAGAACAGATTGCTCAGTTGATTTGAGATGAGTAGTTTTTAGTCGGCAAACCGGTCGAGATGGCATAAATAATATTCGTGTCGCTAAACAAGCTTGATGATTCACCGCACCTGACGATCCAATTTCGAATGAGGCATCGAACTTAATGTCGAGGGGTTAGGGTTATATAGCCCTAGACATGTGAATCACATCATCGCGAATCATTTTGCTAAGAACACGTGCTGCATGTACAACATAGGACAATATTATATGCGAGAACAAAGCGAAACCGCACCATGGCCGCAAGTACTCATCAAGTACGCAGCATCGAATGCTACATACGCAATCGATAGTGACGCGCCCGATCTGCGGGTGGCTACTACGACACTATCATCTCGGACCGGGTAGATCCACTTATCAGCTGTACAATGGTAAATGCAGCGTCAAGTGAGGCACGGACTGACCCCCGTTTGAAGGAAGCGGCGCTAGTCATATCGTCATTCGTTCCTCATTTGATATCACGAGCGGTAGGAAGGGAAAAGACAGAAAGGGACAAGAAGAGTGCATATTTCTGGCAATAGCTTAGACTCTTCTGCTTATTTCCTGAAATTCGACTACCATACATGATGGGAAATCAAGGAAAATTCGATGAAGCGAAAGCTTACGCCCAGCAAGGGGAGCTGTTTTTTGACGACGGGAGAGAACTTGAGCTATTGGATTATATTCTATCACGAGACGACATTGATGACATTCGAGGATCACCCCGCAAAGTTCTTGCAGCGATTGACACCTTTGGAAGACAAAGATATCTCATGAACGTGGGAGAATGCAAAGGCAATATCGTCGCGGAATTAATCTCCGATACTAAGCCAGAAATCATGGTATGACGCGTGCTTCACTGACTCCCAATCCAAGGCTAATTGTGCCCAGGTTGAGCTGGGCGCCTACGTTGGCTATTCGGCCATTCTATTTGCGGATGCTGTCAGGGCTGCCGGGGGAAAGCAATACTTTTGTCTCGAACACAACCCTCAGTTTGCAGCAATCACGAACAAGCTTACCGATCTCGCAGGGCTGGGAAGCTTTGTTACTGTCCTCGTCGGGGATAGTAGCGATTTACTCGTTGAATTGAAGACTACCAGCGCCGTCACGCAGATTGATGTACTATTCCTAGACCATCACAAACCATTGTATCTGCGCGACTTGAAACTTTGTGAGGAGCTTGGTTTCATCAAACCTGGGGCCATCATTGTCGCAGACAATGTTATCAAGCCAGGTAACCCCCCGTATCTCGGGTATGTGAGAAGCTCAGTTGATCAAAAGAAGCAGCTTCTGTCGGCACACATAGCAGCAAAGAGCGTCAGAGATGTGCCCGGCGGAGGGACTGAAACATTCAGCAGCATGGCAGGTGAAGCTCGAGGCAACCCCGGACTTGTGTACGAAAGTCAGCTTGTCAAGAGTGTTGAGCCAACAGGCATTCCGGTATGTTTTGAACAAGACCGAATCGTAAAACGCTAGCATCAACTACTCACCGTCTGGGTATTTTAGGATGGTATTGAGATTACTCGCTGTGTCGGACAGCATCTATAATAGGGGGTGGCTCAGTCTGCAGCGGGGAAATGTCGTCATGACGTCTAGTCTTGCAGTCATTGATTGTTCAACAGCGTCACCAACGGCCCACCAGGCAGAAGGACAGCAGCGAGTGTAACTACCACGTGGGCGGAACATTGAAAGCAGCACAATATTTTATCATTAGTACTAGTGACCAGTACTGTTTTCACGTCAAACTGGGCTCTTAGCCTCCCACGTCGAGCTTGCCAAGTTAAACAATACCATGGCAGACTCAGCAATTAGCCATGGCTTCAAAAATCTCTTTCTTCTCTTCCTCAGTATTCTTATCCTGCCTTTCAGCACCATAGCTGTGTTAATCGCAACCTGTTTGCCCTCATTTCACCACGATCGCGAAACCAGGGCGACGGATCCCAAAACGATACTCGTGACTGGTGTGTCCATGTCCAAAGGCTTGGCCATTGCTCGTCATCTGCATCGTCAAGGCCATACCGTTATTGGCGCAGATTGCCATCGCCTGTCTGCCGGTCGAGTCTCCAGAGCGATTCGCACATTCCATGTTCTTCCGAAGCTCCAGCATGGCGCTGTTACTGGCGCAACGGAGATGGATCCTTACACAGCTCGGCTCTTACACATTGTTCTTACCGAGCACATCGATCTTTGGATTTCCGCATCAGACGTAAATGGTGCTATACAAGACGGCTTGGCGAAGGAAGCCGTTGAAAATTTCACCCCGGCCAAGGTGATACAACTAGGGCATAAAGAGGTTGCTACCTTGGACGACAAATCTACATTTATAGAATACGTCAAATTTCTCGGCCTTCTTGTCCCCGACACGCAATACGTTGGCAGCAGGGCTGAATTGGAGTCTTTCCTCCGCGCAAGGCAGGGACTTTCGTTGTCATCGAGAGGGAAACAATATCTCGTTAAGCCAATTGGAGTCAACGATGTTGCTCGGTTCAGCATGCCGCTCCTGCCTTGCCTAACAGAAAAGGAGACAATGGCTCGAATTGATGCAATATCTTTTAAATCGGGATCTAACTTTATCGTTCAGGAGTACATTAGAGGTGATGAATTCTGTACTCACTCTCTGGTCATCAAAGGAAATGTGAGGGCTTTCGTTGCATGTCCGTCGTCAGAGCTGTTGATGCATTACACAGCTCTCCCTCACCAGTCAACTCTAAGCAACGCCATGTTAGACTTCACCAGGAGGGTAGTTGAAGCAAATGGCAAGAGCTGGACGGGACATTTGAGCTTTGATTTCATAGTCCCCTACAAGCATGACAATGATAGAATCTCGGCAACGCCCAGAGTTTATCCTATCGAATGCAACCCACGGGCTCACACAGCAGTTTTGCTCTTCAATCAAACATCAGAACTAGCCGACGAGTATCTTTCGGTCCTGAATGACGGTGGTGGTCACCGAGAATCTCCAATTTACCCGATGCAGCCTCAGAAAGTATACTGGATAGGCCAAGACCTAGTTGAACAGGTCTTGTATCCAGCTTTGGAGATCTTGTTGCTTCATACAAGATCGTTTTATCAGTTTGCGAAAGGACTCTCAGAATTTAGAGAGCACGTTATTGGCTGGAAAGATGGCGTATTCGAGTTGTGGGATCCGTTTCCTTTCTGGTGGCTCTACCATATTCAGTGGCCGGTAATCTTCTTGAAACACCTGTTCAAGGGCCGATGGCATAGGGCAAATGTTAGCACGGGGAAGCTTTTCAGATCTACTTAGGTACTTCCATCCCACTACAGGGGGAAGTCAAGTTGCGCGGCGTATCAAAACCCATTCGGTAGAAAACCACTCGATTCGCCAAATGTATATGATCAATAGAGCCGCAATAAGACGAAGGGTTAGAGAAAGAATAAACGTTCCATAACAAAACGGCGTCTTGATCTGAACGAGCACATAGCCGCTGCCACACTTTTGCGATGACTATCAGCGTTCAACCTCTGGTCCTAGACAACCTCATCAACATAGTTACTCCAGCACTGTGCCAGTATTCCAGCCAAGAATCGACTTCCCAGCAAAGAGCAGTCCTAGGGTATCTGGGCGCGCCCGTGACATACACTTGACCTACGCGTCACCCGGCAATGATATCCGTTCCGCCAAGCGCTAATTATCTCTGCTAGTCTGGAAACAGTACCAGGATCATTTAACGTCTCAACTCGGTGAACAGAGGTTGTGGACATATTACTATACAGGATAAATTAAGCAGCACATGGAATGAAGGCTATCCTCCGCCGACCAAGAATGCACGTCGTGTTGTGCTTCCTCGTCGTGTGCGGTTAAGCATCTGAATCATTCTAGAATAGTGCCCCACGACATGTACTAATCATTTTTTCCTTGTCAGCATAGAAGGGAACAAATTAGCGTGGCCAGTTGAGACATCCTTTGACTAGTCTGTCGTACAAGACGATCGTCTCCCAGTTACATGCCCCCAATTGGATGGGCAAAATTTTTACTTGCATGTAATGTTGCTTTATTAGGTTGAAGTCTTTTGCGGGCAAGTTATACAGGCTATCTTGGACCTCGGCCACGCTCTCATGACTCTTGTTCCACTCGAACACATCTACAAAGGACTTTTTCTGCCTTGAGCGGAAGTTGTTGAATTGTGCTCATTCCACAATAATGTTCAACCTTGCGTACCGGGCGTTATGATGTGGCTTTTAGGCGCAACAACCGTTTGCGTTGGTGGGAGCCGCAGAGCGGGTTGCGGTGACGTCTTTGACTTTCACCGATTTCTGCATGCAACCCCTTTATGCTTTTCTCATCCCTTGTGACCCCATAAGCGTCAGGCCAGCCAATAGCTAAATGTAGAAACTGTGAAGTAAAGAAAATGGACAGCCTGGTGATTCATCAGTTGGGTAGCTTTCATGTGGTAGCGCGCGTAATCTGTCACACGGCCAAGGCCTGGCCAAAGGTATCGGATATCAAAGGTTACACAACAACAAAGAAAGGTATCACGAGAGCCCGGAGTCGGACCTTGGCAAGGGCTGCCTCAGGCCGCTAGAGCTCACCGACTTCTTGTATATAGAGAGACCTTCCTTCAGTCCCCCAAGGCCTCTTGGAAATCCAAAGACCTTGATGCCTCAAAGTCGATTATTGAATCAGAATTGAACTTCATGTTCCAAGCCCAGTTAGCCTGCCCTTGTCACATAATCTCACGTTGTCCCTGGTAGTTACGGTAGTGTCCATCGTCGGCCGCCGTCCATTGCAAGCACCATGATCAAAGATACTGCCTGACAAAACCTTGATTCATGCGATTCATAACCTGCCGCCCGGCGACGTCGCGAAATCTCAATACCGGTTTGGTTTGCCGATTATAGTGGATATGCATGAGTTCTGCGAACCTCTGCCGCGACAAGCTGTTATTTCTATTCTTGGGGGAAAGAAGAAAAAGAGTGCAGACATTACCAATTTGAGTCACGCGCACGGGATTTCAAGCTTGGAAATGGGGCAAGTTCTATCCTCACCCCGATTGGAGGAGCATTCTCCTTTAGACGACGCCCATGTCTCTGGTCTCGAGGGCTTGACGATATACCAGAAGAAATGTCGCCTGATTAACCTTGAAATTGATCGCCAAGGGATGGGTCGATATCAGTGGTATATTTGGATTTTATGCGGATTCGGCTACTTCCTCGACCTTCTTTGGGCTCAGGCGTTCGGCCTGGTTCTCAGTCCTGTGCAGCAAGAGATGGGTTTTAGAGACGGTCAGTCAGGAAACATCTCGACGAGCTTCAACGCTGGTCTAGCAGCGGGTGCCATCTTCTGGGGTTTAATTGCAGATATTATTGGTCAGAGTCTTCTGCATACCCGTGTATAACGGTTCAAGTCTTTCCTTTACGCACATCAGGCTGATTCTCGACAGTTCAGGCCGGCGCTGGGCATTCAATCTGACCTGTCTCATCTCCTGCACATTCGGCCTCTGTCTCGGCTTCTCCAACGACTATACAACATTTCTTGTTATTACTGCCTTTGTCGGCTTTGGGGTTGGTGGAAACATACCTGTTGACAGTACAATTTTCCTTGAATTTGTTCCGCATGTGAGTATCCGCCAGTCACCAGCAGCCAGGGTGGTCATCAATTCAATCTGGGGTGTCGATTGAGTTGAACCAATGGCCGTACGGCTTGTTACCTAAATGGTACAGGTGCACATGGTCATATTTCGTCAACCAAAGAGGTCCGTTGATTGAATTGATGACCGCCCTGCTGGCAGCGGCAACCATTGACGTCTTGCTAACTTTATGCTAGAACCGTCGCTTCCTGCTTGCTTGCTTGTCAATCTTCCAGCCTCTTGGTGTAGTCGTGTGCAGTGCCATTGCTTTTGGTTTCATCCCCGTCTATGCATGTTCTCCGAACTTTTCCGCAAAGAATCCTCTACCATCGTGCCGTACGACCGCTCCCGGGGCTGCTTGCTGCTTGCGTTCCGACAACATGGGCTGGCGTTATTTTCTATACACTTTAGGCGGCATATCCCTTGTGGTATTCTTTCTGAGATTTGCCGTCTTTACCTTTCGAGAAACTCCAAAGTATCTCGTGTCCAAAGGAGAAGATGCCAAGGCTTTGGAGACAATGCGGCACATAGCCAAGGTAAATAGACAGCAATGCCGTCTCACCATGGACGACTTCCAACTGCTCGAACCAGACAGCAGCAGTGACGAAGCCATATCATCCGACTCATTGATTCCTGGCCAAAAAATAGTTTCATTGATGGGAGGGAGCCGTATCAGGTTTCGCCGCTGGATGGAGAGGTATAAGGTGCTGTTTAGTGGCTTTCAGATGACGCGACTAACCATCCTGGTATGGCTCACTTATATCATGGACTTTTGGGGATTCACTGTCGCTGGTAGGTTTCAATGTTGCTTATCAACATCCCATTGGCAATCTGCTTACCCGTTATTAGGTTTCTACCTTCCGCGAATCCTGGCCCTCAAAAACGGAGCTGCATCCGCAAGTCTTACGTTTACATACGCTGCATATATTTACACCTATGCTCCTGGAATTATCGGAGTTCTCCTGGGAGCCTATGCCTGTCGTGTTCCTGCCATTGGGCGCAGATGGACCATGGTCGTGTCCTCGGGCCTCATGGGCGTGTCTATCATTCTCCTCTCTAAAGCTGACACAATCGCTAAAAATGAGTCGCTCTTCGCCCTGCAATACTTCTTCCAGTCTATGTTCAACGCAGTATTGTATGGATGGACGCCTGAAGCGTTCCCGGCGCCCGTGAGGGGAACAGCATGCGGAGTGGCTAGTTTCTGGGGTCGGCTGTTTGGCATTGTCAGCCCCCTCATTGCGCAGCACTTATATGGGAGAACGACGGGGCCCAAAGGTCATGGCGATATTAACAGCGTGCTGTATTTAGCCGGTGGGGTCTCGCTGGGTTGTGTATTAACTACGGCGTTGTTGCCGTCCAGACTAATGGATGCCCACGATGAACGCTTATAAGCAGTGATCTAAAATTAATAAAAAGGCAAAATCATTCCCTGTTCCGGTCTTACTGCCACAAGCTAATAGTTTTAACTATTTATCTCCTAGTTTTCTAAACCTAGAGATAATGGGAATATACCATGAGTGTTTCGTGGTTTTATCATTGTCCGATGCTATAGCTAAGACTTTTTCGTCTAGAAAACCTCCAGGTCTGCGTTCTTGCATCCACCAAGCTCCAGATCTCAGATGTATCCGCAAGCTCTACAGACAGCCCATCCTGTCTTCAGATCTTGTTGCGTCTGCCCACCTCCACATGGGAACTCGCCAGACGGCCGCTGACAAGTCCCTGCGGCGCTGGGGGCATGCCTCGCCCAGGAGTAGCAGGCGGCCATACAATTGCGTTATTCCTGTCCTTGCATATGGCGGTCTTCGAGTCCCAATTGAAGCCGCAACTATGACACACAGCTAATCATGTCTCAGGCTGCTCTTTTATCTGCCCATCGTCACACGAAACCGGGCCACTCGAGTTAAAACACCGCCGTGGTGGCTTTAACACTAATGCGCTGACGAACTATACTAGAGCTTATTAAGTTTTTTTATAGTCTTATAGAATACTAGAGAGTAAGGTTTTTTAAAAAGTTAGTGTATAGTTTATTAAAGCGTTCTAAGTATATTATATAAGTAATATATAAGTTATAGATATTATATAAGATACTAGATAGTATAAAATACAATATAGTGTTATAGTATAGTATAGTATAATAGTTTTTATAAAATTATATAATTGAGTTTTTTAGCTTATTAAAAGCTAAAAGAACCTATTTCTTTATATAAGCTAATTAATTATAATATAAAGTGGTCTTT